GAAGACAGTTTAACGCTTTGTGATGCCTACCGCCCAACTTACTACCAATTACAGTGGTGCCTCGCTTAACGATTGCCTCGTTAAACAACGAAACCGCTTGACAATGAGTTTTTTGCTTTGGGAACTGATTTTTCGCTATACGATGATTTAGAAACAGCTGATTGGTGGCTCTAAAATGGCCGCCCCCAGTGCAAAATAGCTCCCCACTGTGTTTGCAGGACGGATTCCTCGCTTTACAGGCACCGAAAATAGCCGCCCCGATGGAGGATCTTCGCTGGACGCTGAGGTATTTAGCCCATTGCAATGCACTGAACCGGTTTTAATGCATTTCAATGGGATTTTTCGTTTCACTTGACAAGGATTTCGCTGTACAGCAATTTCAATGGAATGAATTATCCTCGTCAAGCAAGGCACCACTGTAGAGGCCAGCAGAGGATCTGGCTTTGGGCAGATTCTTGACGCAATTTTTAAGAAAAGTCACAGAGAAAGGCTGGACCTCCCTCCTATCTCTTCCCACTTCTGAAAGTTTGATTTTTTTAAAAAAAATTCTGATCCGTGATGCAGTGTATCAGCATTCCCCTAATACAGTGCAACTATGTATATATTTAACTTCCTCTGCCCCTCCACGGAGCAGAGGAAGCGTTTAATTTCCCAATATCGTGAAGCAGCTAAGCTTTCTTCTTAAGCCACTTCACAATATAGGAAACAAGACAAAGGGAAGGCAAATTGAACTTCTTACTGTCCAGAAAAAGGGTCACCACCACGCAACACAGAAACTTAGTTGTCCAGTAATGAGCAAAGACAACGGGTGCTTCTACAAACCCGGTGCCGAGTCACAAGATCCGAATGGCTCTGGACCAGACTTACCCACTGCCCCTAAAGTCCAGTTCTGAATCATCTGCTCGGCACAGTAGGCAAAATCTTCGAAAGTCAGGTACTGCAGCTTCTTTTTCCCAGTCTCAAAGCGGCTATTGGCGAAAAACACGATGGCTGCATAATCCCTGGGAAGATGGCAGAAGAGGAGAGGGGTTTAAGGACAGGATGTTAAACTTTTTAAAAAATAAGCCAGCCATTCTCCGTTTGGCTGTGATGAGCGGCAGCCACAGTTTCGTGAGCTAACAACAAACCATGGTTTCCAACTCTGGCTTGTAGACAGAGGAATCGTGGTTTGTTTGCAGGCAAGCCCACGATATAACCCCATTTCCTCTTCAATCCATGCCCCGCACCTGGCAAGCCGGTCCGAGAGCAGGAAGTGTTGTTGGATGTTTTCTACCAGCGACCCACGGAGTTCTTCAACGGCCTTGAAGACTCGCTTGAAATTGTCAAACTGGAACAGAGCAGAAATTAAGACTTGAATTTACCGTGGGGCAGAACTGATTTAATAGTCTGTCCCTCGGTTCCTAAGGAAACTGAAGTTCATTAAGGGCTATGTTAAGGATCCCACTGGTATAAAACTACTGTATTTTTCTGTGTATAAGACTATACTTTTGTCTAAAATCTTTAGACTAAAAATTGAGGGTCATCTTATACATGGAAATAAGCTGGGGAGAGAACAAAAACAAGTGGAGGGGAAAGCAGGGATCAAAGCGATCCTGCAGCGCTTTGATCCCTTTCCCCCTACACTTGCTAAGCCCCACTTAGATTCCTTAATTTTGGGTTATACACAGAAAAATACGGTAATTAGCTTCCAATAAAGACATCATTTTAGTGGTGGATCAAATCACTAACAGCTAGATCTAAGTATGTTACTGCTTGTAAAGAGGTAGGATAACTTTTCTCCCCTTGCTTCTTCAATGGCTAGGGATGCCTGAGAAATCCACCATTCTGACAAATTTTGGATAAAACTGAGGTAATCATTGCCTCCAAGATGAATGCATGGATGAGAAATTAGTTATCATGAAGCGACTTTTGGATTTCCCAAATATTCTCAGTTCAAATGAAGTATCAAAACAAACGCAGAAACACACATTTGGGGGGATGTTTAGAAACGCACTTTTTTTAGGGGAGAAAAAAACACATTTCAACAGAAAATATGTGCAGAAACGTCAATTCCAAGAGAAAACGTGTTGTTTTGAGACAAAACACCTTTCTAGTTGCACATTCTGACAGAAAGTGCGCCTAGAAATGTATCTTTTGAGATGCGGCATGTACGAAAGCGCTCCCTGTGAGGGAAAACACGAAGAAAGGTGCATTTTGATAGAACACAAACACACATAAAAGGTGCATTTTGAGAGAGAACCTGCTTATTTTGATATGAACTCAACAAAGAGTTGCACGCTTGGAAGGAAAACAAGCCCGTTTGAAGAGAAAACACATTTACTGTAGCCCATTTTGGGAGAACAGGTCGAATGTGTACTAAACTGGGAGTTTTTATCCAGATTAAAAAAAATCCTCCACAAATCAAGGTGGAAATAGGTCGCAACTAATCTGTGAATGCACCCAAGCAAAAGAGAGATGGATTCGAAATAGGCTTATCTGTCCCGTCCCAATAAACTGCTCACCCAACTTCTAAACTACCTTTTCCCCCCATTTCTAACACCCAGACGGCATCCACGCATTCCCTCCTAGCACGACATGCTTTGTTCCAGGAACACAATCTTGCAAGTATAGTCCTCTGGTGCCAGAACTAGACCTTTTAGTAGTTGTTTTTGTCTTAGCCTCACAGGGTCGTTGTGAAGAGAAGACCTACGTATGTTGCCCCGAGTTCTCTAGGTAAATAGAGTCAAATAAATCGATCAAACGGATATACAGTGGTGCCTCGCTTAACGAGCGCACCGTAGAACGACGAATCCGCATAGCAAGGGGGTTTTTTCGATCGCAAAGCGATGGCCCCAATGGGCGAAACTCGCATAGCGAAGGTCGGTAAGCATTTCGCTTACCGACCTTCGCTTTGCGACCCGCGGATCAGCTGTTCGGCGGCTCCAAAATGGCCGCTGGAAGCCCCGAAATGGCCGCGCGCAGCGTTTTCGCGCCCTCGGTAAGCGAGGGGAGGGTGCGAAAATGGCTGCCGGCCATAGGAAAACATCGCCGAACAGTGAGTTTTCAGCCCATTTGGAACGCATT